GCGGGGGGGAAGGAAGACCCCTTCCCCACAAATCAATCAATCAATCAATCAATCAAAAAAAAGAAAAAGCAAAAAAAACAACCTCTGCCCGCGCGTGTGTGTGTGTGTGTGTGTGTGTGTGCGCGGGGAAGGGCGACTCCTTCCCCACCAATCAATCAATCAATCAATCAATCAATCAATCAATCAATCAATCAATCAACCAATCAACCAATCAACCAATCAATCAACCAACCAATCAATCAATTAGGAAAAAAAAAAAAGTAAAATCACACAACAACGGTTTTTCAATAGTTTGATAAAGAAAAAATAAAAATAAAAATAAAAAACAGGGGGTCCATAATTTTTTTCTCCCCCCTCTAAACCCCCCTATTTGGACCCCCCAATTTTTCAGGTTTTTCAATTTTTTTCTTTATGGGTGGGTGGGCCCGGGTCGCGCCCCCGGAATCCCGACCCCAACTTTGGTCACCCCTCCCCCCATGCCCGCAGCGGGCCTTCCCCGACCGCGGTCGCAGCGGTCATGACCGCGGCCCCGCAGCCTTGACCGTGGGCCGCGGTCATACCCGCGGTGACCGCGGCCGCTGGGGATACATAGGTCGAAGGTCATTCAGAGGCGCACAAAAGTTCAAAATACTGTTGCCTTTTCAAGTCAATTCTCCCATTCATTTACAGGCCTCGCTTAGAGAGAGATTTCTATTTTTAGGACATAGACCGATATGTTTTAGCAAGAGGATCTCAAGAAAAAGTAGTAGAAAATATAACTATGAAAGATAAAGAAGGAAAAACCTGATTTAATTTTATTGACTCCTACATGTACTTCTTGGGGGACTTGGGTTGCTATCTCCTAAGCTGCAAACACAGGCACTCGTCACAAAGTGGCCAATCCTCTACCTTTTGGCCCCTCGTCAGGTCACTTAGAAGCCTATGGTCACTTGGATACTCGCTGAGGACTTTGGTTTGGACCGATTAGATGCTTTGCAGCTTGCTTTGCTTACCTTTTTTTACTTTCACAAACGGGTGCAATCTAAGGGTATACTCGCACTGCGACCCCAAGCTGATTTGAGGTTTTGGGCATGCTTCAGGTCGGACTGTTGTACCTTTTCGGATGGGACAAGGTTGTGGCAGTCTAAAAAATGGGGATTTGGTACTTTGTTGGTCACACTGTGACGATCTATTTTCTGATCAGTGCGACTTTCGGCGCGACTGCACTTTGGAGGTTGGGCGGAGGGGCACGATCAAATTGCACAAGTGCCCCCATTCTTTTCCTCTTTTGCTCTTTGTTTTGTGAAAACTTGGTCCCATGGCGGTTGGTAGTTAGGATGCGCCTTAGCGAACACATAAATAACGGTTTACGCGACTTCTTCCTTTTTCTTTTGGGAATGGGGAAAGGGAACTTCGGCGCGGGCATTCTGCGGGAATTTTTTTTTTTTTTTTTGAAACACTGGGGGAGGAATAAGGGAGCAATCGGGATTAGGACTCTAATTAGCTTAGGATTTTGGTGGTGTCGTATTTTCCT